CTCTTGCGGTGATAAAATACCATGAACAAGGCAGCTTATAGAAGGCAGAGTTTGTTGGGCTTACAGTTCCAGAGGGATAAGAATCCATCATGGTGGGGTGGAATGGAAATGAGGCAAAGCTATGAACTGTCAAAGCCTGCCCCCCGCTTCCTCTAGCAAGGCCACACTTTAAAAAAAAATATTTTATTTCTTATTCTTTATGTGTATGAGTGTATTGCTTGCGTGTATGTATGTGCACCCATGTTGTACAGTGCCAGCAGAGGCCAGAAGAGCTGTGTTGATCTCCTGGAACTGGAACTAGAGTTATAGGTAGTTGGTAGCTGCCATATGGGTACTGGGAACTAAACCTGGGTCCTCTGCAAGAGCAGCCATTGCTCTTAACCACTGAATCATCTCTCCAGCTCCATGGCCACACCTTCTAAACCTCCACAAACAGTACCACCAACTGGGGTCAAGTTTTAAATAGTTGGATCCTATAGGGGACATTCTCATTCAAACTACCACATTCTTCCCTCCCTCCCTCCCTCTTTCCCTCTGTCCTTCCCTCTGTCCTTCCTTCCTTCCTTCCTTCCTTCCTTCCTTCTCTCTCCAAACAAATTGGTACATGTACACCACACACTGACACACATGCTCTCTTGCTTTCTCTCTTCCTTCCTTCCTTCCTCCCTCCCTCCCTCCCTCCCTCCCTCTTTCCCTCCCTCCTTCCTTCCTTCCTTCCTTCCTTCCTCCTTCTCTTTCTCTCTTTTTTTTCTTTCTTCTTTCGTCTTGTTATGTAGCCCACACTGGTCTGTCTCAGCCTGCTGAATGCTGGGATTGGCCAGTGAATACCTACATCTCACAAGATTCCAGGTATTGATGTTATTGAACTTGGGACCACACTTGAGAACCTGCTGTAGACGGGTGGGTTGGACTTGGTGGCTTTATGTAGTGACTGTAGTGTGCATCATATTGGTAGGTTGTCATGTGCTGTTTGAGCTCCCTGAGAAGCTGGCTGTGGAGGCTGGACTGTGAGTCCCCTCTGTTTCAGACCCAAGCATGTTTATCTCACGGTGTCCAGCAAGGGCCCTTGTCTAAGGATGGGCTGTCCCCTGGCTGACAGGGAGGAAAGAGAACAAAACATCCCAAGGCTAAAAAACATCATGCCCTTGAGAACACCTAGAAGATAAACTATTCCCAACAGAGATTACTATTGTTTATCCCATGAAGTAAAAGTGCCTGCTGCCCTATGTTGTGGCATATGGCTTTAATCCCAGTACTTGAGAAACAGAGATAGGCAGATCTCTGTGAGTTCAAGACCAACTTGGTCTTCAAAGCAAGTTCCAGATCAGCCTGGACTATAATATAAAACACATAATAAGACCCTGTGTCCAATCAGCCAACCAACCAACCGAGAGAAAGTGCCCAAAGTGGAAAAAAGCGAGAAATTCAGCCATGGGATGCTGTCTATCTGTCTGTTTGTCTGTCTATCTATCATCTATCCATTGTCATTTATTTATCCATGCAGTTATCTATTTATCATCTATGTATCATCTATCCATGCATCTGTCTTGTCTGTCTATCTATCTATCTATCTATCTATCTATCTATCTATCTATCTATCTATCTAATTATCTATCCATGCAATTATCTATTTTTCATCTATGTATCAACCATCTGTCCATGCATCTCTCTCTCTCTCTCTCTCTCTCTCTCTCTCTCTCTCTCTCCATCTCTCCATCCATCCACCCATCCATCTCTTGCTCTTTATTCTTTTAGTGGCTTGCTCTATACTTAAAAAATGCACCCATTCAAAACCAAAAGTGTAGCTATAGTAGATCATTCTCCAGACTACACAGAACAGTAAGTGACAGCTGTCAGCGATGATTTGAGATTTGTTAAATTTCTATGATCCTGTCTCCTCCAGCACTGAGGCCTTCTATGTCTTTCATTTATGCCAATTAAAATCAACAGAAGCTGTCTTATTATAGTGCTCTCATGGTGTTAACATAGATGAAGGTTAGTCATTGTCTTTCCGAAAATCAGGTGATTCTTCATGTGTATGTGCACATTTGTGTGTGTTTTTCTGTGTTCTTTTATGCAATGCTTTTTTTGTTTGTTTGTTTGTTTCTGGTCTTTTTGAGACAGGGTCTCCCTGTAGCCCCAGCTGCCCTGGAACTTACTATGTAGACCAGGCTGGCCTTGAACTCACAGAAATCTGCCTGCCTCTGCCTCCCCTGAATGCTGGGATTAAAGGCGTGTGCCACCATGCCTGGTCTGTTTTGTTTTTTGAGATGGTGTTTTTTGTAGTCCAGGCTAGCCTAAAACTCATTATGTAGCCAAGGATAGGATAACCTTAAACTTCTGATCCTTCTGTCTCCATCTCCCTACTGGGATGACTGGGTGTACATCATACTTGATTTGTGTGTTGCTGGTGATGGAAGCCAGGGCTTCATTCATACAGGGCAGGCATCTTTATATTGCATAAGTCTATTTTTGTTTTAGTGTCTAAAGAGACAACTGAATCCCTGATTAATGAGATGGTAGCAAAGGATGTGCGTTTCCTAGACCGCCATCCTGGAATGTCCCTGAGTGACCTGGGTCACAGGCAGATAGCATAGGGAAGCAGCCCTTAACAGCCAATGTTAATAAAGCATGTGAGGTGAGCTTGGTGGTGTGAGTTCTTTGTTACCTCTAAGCTCTGGGTTGAGGCTTCTGTGGAGAAGTGTGTGTCTACATGTGAGGTGAGGCATCTAGTTGTGACATCTGTTCTTCACCAGGGTCGATTCTGGCAGATTAGATAGGTGTTCACTTCCTGTCTCACCACTCCATGTACATTTGTTCTTAGAGGCAGACTGTTCTTAGGTTAAGGGCACATGAGTTCCTGCACTCCCCTGCCAGAACCTCCAGCAGCCTCTCAAGAAAGGACTGTCTGGTTGAGATTAGCTAGTAGGCAGCTCGGATGTTTCTTTTCTCATTTCCACAGCTTTTTTTAAATAGACAGAGTCTTACTTTGTAGCCCAGGTGCCGGTGCTAGCCGGCCAAAACGGACAGTACCTGAAAGGGGGAGTGAGGATTGAAAGAAAGGAAAGGAGACAGAAAAGATGCTTGGGAGGGCTCACAGTCAATACTGCAGCCCCGATTTATATCAGTTCTGCCTTTTTATACAGAAGAACTCAATTAGTTACAACTGCTGTTTTTTCCCCACCTGTATCTGAGGGTCAGGGAGCGGTCAGATCAAAGGCTTCCACTATTGCCTCAAGGTCAGGTGTTGTGAGGCCCTCCATATAAACATATTCCTCCTAATAAGGCAGATTAGATACTGGTGTGCATAATACACACTCAGTAAACAAGCCTGACACAGCTCAATGATTAGCGGCTCCCGACACCCAGGCTAGTCTCAAACTTATCCTCCTGCCTTAGCCTCCTGAGGACCGGAATGACAGATCTGACCCATCAAGCCCACTAGCAAGAGTGTTTAAAATTATATTGTCTTAATGGGAATGCAGGACATGACATCACAGGGTCAAAGCACAGAGTATGTTTATGTTCGAATAAATCTGGAGTAAGAGCTAGAAGTGGGGATAAACCCCAGGAATTCAATGGCTGCTGATTTTGTCCTTTTGAAAAAA